GGTGCAGTGGCTTTGAGGGATAACAGAGCAGTCTTCCAGATCCCAGTTTTTCAAAACCTCGCTTTGGTTGTTAGCAGTTGTGGAAATTCAGTGTCAAAGGTTACAGTTACAATTTTTCTGTGGAAATTGTTAGAGCCTTTAAGATCTCTTCAAGTTTGGCTGTGCTGGTGAAGCTAGCAGGACCTAAATAACTTGGGGTCTTTCTATGTGTTGTTGGTGATAGATTCAGATGTGTAAAGATACTTGTAAAGGTTTCTATGGGATTTTTCAAAACCCAGCAACGTTTCAGGGAGAATTAGTAGCCTTTTTGCAACTCCTAACCTTCTTCTCTTTGGCAGCAGATGCAGGGATACCCAGCATGAAGTTCATCACCAGTTTAAAAGCGGCTTCCATGGCACAGCTACTTCATATGCCTTGCAGGAGGTTGGGATATTGCGGGGCTTTAGGAGTCTCCCAGATGTCTGGCTTTGTGAGTGACTGCTGGCACTGCTCAGGGACTTAATCTCCAGCTCCTACTGCAATGAAATTGTCACCTGCCTCCACCCCTCGACTCTCACACACTCATTTAAAAATGCTGTGGGAGGCAGGAGGCTGGCAGCAGGGAGATTGGACTTCTGCAGCAATGCTTGTGCTACAGGCAGTGTTTGGTCACAAGTGTGTGCCTCAGTTGGGCTGGGCGTGTGGCTGTGCTGGAGCTGGCTGCAGTTCCTGGCCCAAGCCTTACCCAGGAGAGAGCTAACGGGACAGTGCCAGGATTCTGTGGGAGCAGTGCTAATGATTAAAAAGCGCAAGTGTCACGGGTCATTGTGCTTGCTATGCTTTATCTGCTGGTACTGTGAGAAACAGTTTTTCCTCAGGCACGTGATCATATGGAAACATATTCATGTCTTGAATATGCCTTGAGCTGCAGAGCCTGAAGGTGCTGCACTTAATGAGGCATTACAGCAACTACATGCCAATGCCAGCAAGAAAATCTGCTTTTGAATTTAAAAGATCTAAGAATTTTCCATTTACTGATAGGCTGGTAAGGGGGAAAGAACAAAGTCAATTCATCTCTCAATGAAAAACTGTTGTAAATTAAATATCTCAAGGAGTTTAGGACCTGTCAGAGGTTCGTAGAATCAGAGAATCATGGAATATGATGAGTTGAAAGGGACCCACCAGGATCAAGTCCAACCCCTGGTCCTGCACCGGACACCCCAAGAATCACACCATGTGCCCGAAAGTGTTGTCCAAACTTTTCTTGAACTCAGTTTGTCTCGGTGCTCCCACTGAGCTGTTAATCAGTTTAGCATATAATACTAAAGAGCCTTCTAAAAGAAGGCATCGTAGGGAAGCGTGAAGAACGAGGTTGGCGAGTGAAGTGTCCGCTGCTTCGCAGCAGCGACCCACCCGTGGCGGGACAAGGCGGTGCCTCCCACCGCCCTGCACGGCTGCCGCCGGTTGTTTGTGAGCGGTTTTTAAGCACTCCGAGCTCCTCACCCCTCGCAGTGCACCGACGTGAGGTGAAGCCCCTTCGCCGAGCCGGGGGGATGAGGCCGCCGGGATGCGCTGTCCGCCCGCGCCGGGCCGAGCGTATCCCGGGACGCCGCCGCGCCGGCCCCAGACGATGGCGCTGCAGCCCCGTGGCTGCGGCGCGGCGGCGGCCGGCGGGGGTCGCTGCGGGGCGGTCCGGCGGCGGCGCGGGGCTGCGGTGCGGGGAGGCGGCGGCGGGAGCGGCGGTGCCGCACAGCCGCGGGTGCCGGTCCCGGCGGAGGCATGAGGAGCGCGGGGCGGGCGGGCGGCGGCGCGGCAGAGCGCGGGTCGGCGCGGCCCTGAGCGGAGCCTCCGCGCCGCGCTGCGTTCCCGCAGAGCGACTATGGCCGGGGGAAGGCGAGGGCTGGTGGCGCCTCAGAACACGTTCCTGGAGAACATCGTGCGAAGGTCCAACGGTAAGGGGACACGGCGGGCGAGCCCGCGCCGGGGCGAAGCGGCCCCGCCGCGCCTTCGGCGGGGGCAGCGCCGGGCGGGGGGCGCGGAGCCCTGGCGGCTGCCGGGCGGCTTCGCCGGAGCGGCGCATCCAGGTGCGGGAGCCGGTGCCGGCTGCTCCGCCCAAGTCCTGCGGGGAGCCCCCGGCCCGGGCGGCGGGGCTCAGGCTGCAGGTGCGCCCGCACGGCGGGGCGAACTGAGAGACCCGGTGGCTGCGGCGGGGCCGGACCCGCGCCCCGGGGCCACCGGGGGCAGCGCCGCACCCGGGGCGGGGGGCGCGGGGTGTCGGGGCCGGCGGCGGCTCCGGCCGGGGAGAAGGTGCGGGGATTCAAGATGGTCTCTGGGCACGGAGAGCCCGGTGCGGGGGCATCGGCGAGGACTGCCTGCCCCGGTTGAAATGGAAGGTTTGTCATAAGTGAGGAGAGAGTTTGCCATTTTGAGGGCTGAGGGCAGATATTTCTTTTTCTTTTTCTTTTTCTTTTTCTTTTTCTTTTTCTTTTTCTTTTTCTTTTTCTTTTTTTTTTTTTTTTCCCCCCTAGTACACTGTAACCAGGTCTGTCTCTTGGAAAACTGCGGAGTGGAAAATGCCTCGAATTTCACAATTGCATGCAAATATGCATTAATGTTATCCAGATTCTTTCACTTAGGGGACTTACCAAAAGCTGCTCCTCAGTGAGCCGAGCGTTTGTGTATTTGTTTATCCTAGGCATGTGCATTTCTTTTAAAACCCCGAGTCTAAGTTGTGCCATTTTTAATGCTTCCATTGACTTCAAGGGGGTTACTTAAGGGAATTAAAAACTTGTAGTATGGTTGAGAATACGCAGGATCAAGCTCCTTTTGAAGGCAAGATAAGTTAATTAATTAAAAACGTAGTCAGTTTGTTCTGATAAGGCAAAGACAATTAACCCTCTTGATAAGCAGCTAAAAACTCAAATGATCCCAAGAATGGTTTTCAATTTTTTTCCAATTAGGCAGTATTATTGGAGAAATAGCCTTTGATAAGACCATATGTTCACATAAAATTGTGAGGCTCTTTTTATAGGTTATTTCTCTCTGTAACTTTCGTGTAGAAGAGAAGGGGTTCAAAGCTGCATTCTTGAAAAAAATACTCACCAGTCTTACAGTAAAT